TATATCCCCCAAGTGAATGCAATCTTTCTGTCTGTCCCTCTCTTTCTGACTCATTTCGCTTAGCGTGATACTTGCTGGAATCATTTAGAGGGAGGGGGTATAGCCTTGGGTATAAAGAGGGGTGCGGGGGGGTGCTATTTGCTCACATACAGGTGGTAGATTTCCTGGGAGCACTGAAGAGCATTTTTTAAAAAAATATTTTCAGTAAAGGGGGCAGAGATAGCACAGCGGTAGGGCGTTCGCCTTACAAGCGGCCAACATGGCCAACCCGAGTTTGATTCCTCCGCCCCTCTCGGAGAGCCTGGCAAGCTACCGAGAGTATTCGATATGCCAGACACAGTAACAACAAAGTCTCCAATGGAGACGTTACTGGGCCCGCTCGAGCAAATCGAAGATCAACGGGAGGGCCTTTACCTTTACCTTTTTAAAGGGGGCAGCAAGCAAAATAAGTTTGGGAACCTCTCACCAAGACACAGACAGGCCTGGTTTATTTGTCGAGAGGTGCCAGGTTGTCCCGTCTTCCCAGCAGAGGAAAGGGGTCTGCTGTGGCAGAAGAGGCGCCACCCTGGGACTGCCACCCAGCACACTCTGGGATGGACTCGTCTCTCAAGAGAAGGGCAGGGCTTCCCCGCTCTGCGCATGTACAGAGCTCAGGAGAAGCAGCGTGGCCTCGGCCCACTGATGCCGGGAGCATCACCTCCATCTCCACAAGCAAAACTGGCTCTAGAAACTGACAGGTGTCCCCGGGATGGAGCCCCAGCATCCTTGCGCGTCCACTGCTCTAGCGGAGGATTCCAAGACTTTCTCTGTGTGCAGCCCCTCCTGCTGAGAATCGCAACCCAGACAAACACTGCCAGAAAGAAACACCGCTTGTGCCTCATGTGGATTCAGAATACACCTGAGTTGGAATTGTTTGTGGCACATTCAGAAACCTTTTATCCTGCCAAATTCTTCGAGACCCCCCACGTTCAGTTGTAAGACCCCATATGGAGTTGTGACCCCTCCACCCCCCAGACCTGAGTTTAAGAAGCAACGCCCTACAGCAGGCTTTTCAACTGCCACTTGGTGGGCTAATGCTGGCCCACAGATGCAAAAGGCTGGAGCTTACCGAATAGACTAGAGGCTCCCAAACTGTCCTTATGTCAGGGGGAAAACAATCACTCAACCCCTCCTGTAAATTTACCCTCTTTAAATGAACAAATAGAGACCCCCCAACTTCACTGAAGATCCTGCTGCTCACCCCAAACATGGCAGTGCTCTCAGGGGGCAATGTGGACCCCCTCGGGAAGCACTGGCCTTGAGGAAGGATTGGAGAGGGGCAGAATGAGGAGAATGGGACACGGTGGGGCAGCTCCAGGACAGAGGGGGTGTAGGGCAAAGGGAATCGAAAGAAGAGAGCTGAATGCTCCCAGGAGAACAAAAATCGGAAACAAAGAGCTTGAGAAGATGCGCTATGTAAACGCTGCTCCATCTGACAGGTACATCTTCAGCAAAAGTTGGTGTCACCCACGAGGTCTCTGGGACACAGACCTGTTTCCTGTCCCTCTCCCCCTCCCCACTGAGTGGGCAGCTGCAGTGAGGAGCTGGGCGCTCCCGGGAGGCTGGCTACAGGCAGTGGCAGGGGATGTGCACTTTAAGACCTGTATTTTGTCATGAATCTGGTACCACTCTTACAAAACACACCTGGTTTGCTTTTTAATAAAGGTGCCCCGGGGGGAGAGAACAGACCCAGGCTCTGCAGTGTGGTCAGAGTACCACGGCCAGACAAGCATATGGAGGCGGTAGGGAGCTGGGCTGGACCCAGAGGCCACCAGTACTGTGTTTTCTTCCAGAAGTAACCTGTGTCTCGCACCCACACTATAGACAACAAACCTCACAAAACCAACATTTACTTGTTGACATTTAACCCCACAACACGGCAGTTTTCTCCATCACTAAGTCCCTGGCATTTGAATGTTGAATGGGCAACATTCCATTTATTCATTTATTCATTTAACAACCATAGTTGTTAAATGAATAAATGGATGAGGTCCTGGAACATACCTTAGTTCCCTGACTAGCAAACTCTGACTCATACTTTAAGGCTCAGATCAAATGTTACCTCCTCTAGGAAGTCTTCCGTGATTACTCCTGACAGAAATAACTTCACAGTGTACTCAAAGCATGTGATTGCAGCCTGTGCCACTGTATATATTATTGTGTTTGTCTTCTGCCTCCCCTGTCAGGATGTAAGCTCACTGAGGATGGAAAAAAAAAACTCTGACACATTTGTTATCCTCATTTTAACCCATGCTTAGTGCATAATCACGGTCACGGTCACGGTCCTCCCGTTGCTCATCGATTTGCTCGAGCGGGCCCAGTAACGTCTCCATCATGAGACTTGTTGTTACTGTGTTTGGCATATCGAATACATCACGAGTGGCTTGCCAGGCTCTGCCGCGCGGGCGAGATACTCTCGGTAGCTTGCCGGGCTCTCCGAGAGGGGCGAAGGAATCGAACTGGTGTCGGCCATGTTGGCCGCTTGTAAGGCAAACGCCCTACTAGTGCAAAATATAATATAGTGCATAATACTCGATAATGACTTGTTCAATGTAAGATTCAAACAACGCCCTCTTGTCTCCATTCCAAATCCTCAGCATCAAAGTTTAGACACCTCCTGTTTCCAATCTCTTAGCAAAACCCAGAACCAAGAGCTGCTTTGGGTTTTATCTTGCCTTGGAGAAAGAGCTCTTTCTGCTCAGCTGTTCTCCTGGCCTGGCTCACGGGCAGGCAGGATGACAGACCAGAGGACTCTCAGCCCCAACAGCCCTCCTGTCCTGGGCCTTAGGGATTTAAGGGTCTTCCGATCTTCCCTGGACCCTTCCCCCATCCACACCACTCCTCTGGCTAAGAGGATTAATCCCACGCAGGACTACGCACGCTTGGGAGAGTGACAGTCTCTTCTTCTCCCCCCTAGAAGTGGTGTGTGATAATAAATATATGTGTTTATAAGGAATATATGTGTATGTCCTTTGTCCTCATTTCTGGCACAGAATCTCTAAGACTCTAATTTTGGGGAGTGACCTAGGATGGAGGTTGGTTACCAGGGATCAGAAGGTTCCCAACCCATCCACCCACCCACTCTACTTCCTCTACCAAGTACCAATCCCTCTGGGGAGGGAACAAAGGGGATAGAGTCCAGTCATTCACCAATGGTCAATGATGGGACTCTACTGGGCCCAAGAAATGAAACCTTCAGAAAATCGCAAAAGGATGAGTTCCGAGAGCTTCCAGGCTGGTGACTGCGCTGGTGCTCAGTTCTGCTCCCTCCTCCCCCCTCTGTTCTGTGCATCTCCTCCTTCCTGCTGTTCCTGAGCTACAGAGCAAAAGCTCAACGTCTGTTGGAGTACACGGAGCTTAGGTTTATCGGAATCGCACTCATCACAGTGCTCCCGAGTCACTCCCATTACTTTGTCTGCTTGTAACCACTTCTATGCTCTCTTCCCCAACCAATTTGTAAGGTCTCATCCTTCTTAGACACTGAAGCTGTACTGTAAGTTAATATTGTCTTTCTCCTCTCCTTATGTCTTTTGAGCAGTTTACCTTAATGCAATATCCTTTTGTATAGATACAGGAAGACAATTAATTAATGTGCTCCGTAACTTAGGAATTGATTGGCTTTGAATGTTATTCACTCCTGGGCATCTGCCTTCTCAACTTAAGCCTCAGTTGCCCTCACTTCCTAGCATCCCAAGGGCAGGGTCCCGACATGGGACTGGATGGAACCAGGGCAAGCCGGTAAGTTATGTGCTACCCTGGCATCGCGATGGGCCAGGCCAAGGTGCCAAGATTCTTAACTATAAGTTAGGAGTTTGATCATAGGCAAATGCTGTCATGATCCAAAAGTAACGACAAGACTAGGGCCCTGCTGCTAGGAATAGGAAAGATATCTGGCCTGAGCACTGCAGTCTGAGATCGAGATGGCCCTAGGAGAGCAATTCTATAAGCTCAAAGTATTTCTTACTGTGTCCATACGAAATGATTAATATTATGTATGCTTATATGTTGGTTGGACAAGGAGAGGAGAAACACGTCATAGAAGCAGTTTCCTGTGTGTCCTGACTAGCTTGGATGAGACTGCTTTTTTGGAGATGTAGATTCCAAACTCTAGCAGACTGGTCTTTGTTGTGCTAATCTAAGTGCTTGTAGCTTGTGAAAAGGTGAGGCCAGGATTACTGGCCTGCGGATGTAAGGAAACAATGTATGTTTGCCACCTCAGTGTTCTTTCTGTAACTCCTTTTGATGACATCATTATATTGCGCCCTTTAGAGGTGCTATGATCTATATAAGGAAGATTTCAGGGCTCTCTGGGGGGACGCGTGCATCAGAGAACCTGGGAAGATGGGGCTGAGGACAGAAGCGGAGAGAACAAAGGCGCACGTGCTTGAGGATTCCTGAGGCCTCCATGACATACATCTCTTCCATGTAATAAACGGCTACTAAGACCAACTAGCTTGGCCTCGTTTCCTTCCTTCACCTGACCATCGCCATCGACCTCCCTGGAGTGGGGAAACGGCCAGACCGCCGGCCGTTCTACTTGTGTGTGTTTACACAAACGTCCTCTGAGCCAGGGGAGCTGCTCTAATAAAGGAACTGAGCCCCGGGGCTGGGGGAGATTCTTGGGGACCTCTTCTCTCTAACCAGTGAGTCAGAAACATACGTGACCCCTGAACTTGTAGCCGGCATCACAAGCAAGGCAGGGAATATTCGATGGTGCTGAACCGCTGGACACCAGCTATGAGTGCTTTGGTGGTATGGGCAGGCATGCTCGGGGGACCATATGGGATGCTGGGAATCGAACCCGGGTTGGCCGTGTACAAGGCAAACGAACTACCCACTGTGCTATTGCTCCAGCCCCCATGTGCTGAATTTTAAGTCCATACCTATGCACCTCATCTAGAGACAAGGGGACCCTGATATCCAGCCAACAGACTCTGCAGGCCACCCCGAGCTCTGCCTACCTGGTGGGAGGGTGGAGCGTGGCTGCTCTCTGCAGAGGGTCTGTCCCGGGCCGGCCCTCCCTGCTGTCTGCAGTCCAGCTGGATCAGGCTGCGGCATTCCGGGTGGCACGTGAACTTACAGTCTGTGGGAAAGAGCCAGTAGGGTTAGTGTCAGTCTGGGCTCTCCCCATTTCTCCAGAAACATCTCCCCCCACTCCCCTCCCCCCGCCGCCAGGAGGTGCCTGTAGCTTCCCAGAGCCAAGAGCCCCTGGACAGAGGAAGGCAGGTGAAGGCTGAATGCCTGGGCTGCTCCCGCCTCCTGCGCCCCCACCAGCACGGCACACCCTCACAAACTGCCCCTGCCAGCGTTGTTCCTGCCACTTCATAGGACAGACCAGGTGTGCCGAGACCACCAGCTGCAGGCTGGCATGCCTTCCATTTAAATCACACTCATCACCAGGGGTCACGAAGCTCTGGGGTCGGGGGGAGAGAGGGCGGGCGGTGCTTTTGCTCATTTTGTTTTTGGGCCACCCTGGTGATGCTCTTCACTCAGGAATCACTCCTAGCGGTACCCCTAGGGTACCATATGGGATGCCGGGGATCGAACCTGGGTCGGCAGCCTGGAAGCTGTCTGCCTTCCCACGCTGTATTATTGTTGGCCTGGCCTTTGTTAATTTGTAAATACAAGGTAATAGCCAATTGCCTGGGCACAGGGATATATATACATATATATATACAGCTGAATCTTGCGAAGACAATGTTTATGAGAAACAGCCTTGTTCCTGACGCTCCATTCGCTCTCAACGGAACCACCATCTCCGAATGCAACAGTTATATATACCTAGGTCGAGAAATCAACATGATGAATGACCTGGCACCTGAGTTGCGCAGGAGGAAGAGAGCGGCTTGGAATGCCTTCAAGAGCATTGAAGAAATAACTAAAAGGACAAAGAACCTCCAGCTACGAGCACATCTCTTTGATTCCACTATTCTTCCTGCATTAACATATGCCTCAGAGACCTGGACCCTACGAAAACAGGATGAGAACACTATTCGGATCTCTCAAAGAGGAATCGAAAGAACTATGCTTGGAATATCACGATTCACTCAAATGAGAGATAGAATCCGGAGTTCTGATCTTCGTCAACGCTCAAGAATCAGGGACACTGTCTCATTTGCCAAGACATCAAAAATCAGATGGGCTAGACACGTAATGAGGTTTACAGACAACCGCTGGACTAGAGCCATTACTGATTGGATTCCACGAGACATCAAAAGATCATGTGGACGCCCCCCTATAAGATGGTCAGACTTCTTCGTCAAGACCCTAAATGATCGGTTTGAGGCTCTACATGTTCCTAAAACGAACAGATACCATTGGGCTACGCTAGCACGCAACTGGGATGAATGGAGACGTTACTGGCACCCGCTCGAATAAATCGATGAATAACGGGGATTAAGTGATTAAGTGATTATATATATATATATATATATATATATATATATTCTGGCCAGAACAGGACTTAGCACATCAGAGACACCTCCAGAGGCAAAGCTGCTCTCAGGAAGGCCTGCCCACTCCCACTGCTGTCTCGAACGTGGGCGGCGCCAGCCAGCGGAAACAGCCAGCAGACATCAGGCTGCAGCAGGCGCTTCTTCGGTCACACCATGGAAGCGGGACTGGTGGCCAGAGACAGAAAGAGACTCTGGGCCAGGGAAACAGGCCCAGAGACATGAAGTGCGGTGCCACAGTTCAGGGCATGGCCAGGGTGCTGAAGAACCCTCCGGTCCACTCCCGAGAACCTCCTTGACCGGGGAAGGAGAGGCTGGAGGGGCAGGAGGCTGTATGGCTTGGCTGCACACGGGAAAGGGGAGCATGTGTGGAGAGTTGGGGTGAAGAAACACTTGGCAGACAAGGAATTCAAGCCCAGCCCATTAGCAGGTGAAAAAAATGTTCAAATCTCTGTATGGTCCAGAGGATCGCTGAGGTCAGAGGGGCCCCAGGCCTGGTCGGCCACAGGACCTGAAACCAGAGGTGTGTGTGTGTGGGGGGGGGGGAATGTCCTGGCTGGCATCTGGGCACCCAGGGAAGGGCTGGGTGGTTTGCTTGCAGCAGGCCCTGGGCTGTGAGGAGGAGTTTGCCAGGCAGGGCTGAGCAGGATCACGCTCCCCGGGCACAGCGGGTCTCTGTGTGGGATGGGCATGCCCTTCCTTCCCGCTCTGCTGGGGAGCACTGACAGAGCAGCACACTCCCAAACTGTCCCTTCCTTCGGACCCCTAAGGTGAGTGCTCGGCATTTTCCTTGGACAGGCTGATATTCCCCCCTGTAGGGATGTCAGAGGTCCCAGGACTCCACAGTCTAGCCGGACGCATCTCGATCTCTGGCCTCTTTCTTGAATGTAAGCTCTGCTGCTCCCCTCCCTCCTGCCTACAGGTGAGCACCCACCCCCACCTCCTGCCTCCTTCAGACCTTTCTGGAGGCTGCCCAACTCCTCCACAGAGCCTGCCGCTCACCCTGCACCATTTCCCTGCAAGCACCCACGTGTCTCTGGGGCCTCCCAGTCGATCTCTGGCCAGCACAGGTGCAATGCGCAGACCACGGCTTCCAGGTGTCAGGGGCCCCGGAGCATCAGGTTATGATGAGGCCACCCTGGCCAGATACCACTCAGAGGAGTGCTACTGGGGGGCGCCAGTCCAGTCCGGGGACACCCCTGGACCATTTTCCACACCCCCACCCTGGCATCAGGCTGATGCAGGAGCTCCAGAGCAGAAACAAGGAGGACGAGGCGGGAGGGCATGGGGGTGTATCTCTAACTGTACCGAGAGGGGGAGCGCCTGGCGAGGCCTCCCAGGCTCCCTCAGCTCCTGCCTCAGACACGGGATTCTCTCTCACTCCGGCCTTGCCATCCCCATGTTTTGAAAATAGCACCAAGACCTCAGAAAGACTGTGCTGCTCTGAGGGGGCATGGAGGAGTGTGTGCGAGTGTGGGGTTCCCAGACTGCACAGCTATGCCCTCGCACACAGCCGGCTCCTGCCCCCTGCCCACACCTGCACTCTCCCCACCTGCAAAGGCTCAGGCTCTGTGTGTGTGGGGGGCGGGGGGCGTGGAGCCAGGGCTGCTGAGCCCATCTGTGGGGCTACCCATGAGATCCCCAAGGCAAGCCCTTTCGGGGACCATGGTTGTGTCCCCTCCGCCCTGGTGGCTCCTCTCACGGGTGGGACGACCCTTAGGGGCTGAAGCCTTTAGCAAGTGCTCAGTGTGGCCTAGGAAAGGGAATGGGGTGGGGTGGAGGGAAAGGCACGATAGTGGGGAAGGCATTTGCCCTGCACACAGCTGACCGGGTTCGATCTCTGGCTTCCCATATGGTCCCTCGAGTACCGCCAAGAGTAATTCCTGAGTGAAGAGTCGTGATTAATCCCTGAGCATCACTGGGTGTGACCCAAAAAGAAAAAAAAAAGGAGGGAAGGAGGAAGGAAGGGAGGGAGGGAGGGAGGGAGGGAGGAAGGAAGGAAGGAAGGAAGGAAGGAAGGAAGGAAGGAAGGGGAATTGGAATGCAGCCCACACTCAGGGTGGCTCCACCCCCCAGACAGGAGCTGTGAGCACAGAGTTCCTGCTGCCTGGGCACCCGGGAGAGAGGGACACACAGGTAAAACAAGGCATGTCAGGTTTAGCCTCCGTGATGGCTGCCAACACAGAAGCCTCAAGCTAACAAAGCAGAGGCCATGGAAGTCCCTGTCTAGGAAGGCCTCATGCACGAGCAGGAGGCTCTGAAGAACTTCGGGGTGACGGGTCCCCCATCCTGGAGCCAAAGAAGGGAGGGAGCTCTGGCGCTGAGAGTGACAGATCTCCCCAAGAGGGAGCCGTGATAGACGAGGGAGCAGATTCGGGATCTGTTGGGGGCAGAGCTCTAGTGTCGGGACCATGGGCCCTCATCTGGGAACCAGACTTACCCCTTCCCTGGCCACTGTCCTGCCCGCACAAACCCTGCCTCATTCCCAGGGAGCTCTGGAGGAAGCAACTGTACTTCAGAACCGGGGAGAGACGGAGGGAAAGCACGGGAGAGATGAGGGGCACCAACCTGCCCAGAAGAGAGAGCCTGAAGCCAGGATGGAGAGAGGCTCAGGGTCCCTTGGCACCTCGGCCTGTGGATGGAGATCTCTCCCCAGCATGGGACTTGCCTGCCTCCCTCTGCAGCGGCCCCTCCAAGCACACACATTCTGAGGGGAGGGTCAGGACTTCAATGCGTATATTGGGGGGGGGGACACTGGGGGCACTCCTGGCAGTTTTCAGGGAACCATGGAGTGCCAGAGGTCAAACCTGGGTCTCTTGCATGCAAAGCCAATCCAGTCTTTGGAGCTGTCTCCTCAACTAAGACATCTGTTTTTGGGGGAAGAGCATGACTGAACCCATAAAACAGACCCATACGGGAAGCAAGAACCCTTAGGCCTGGCCAGATGGTTCGTGGATACCATCACAAGAGACAGAGGCAGGGACCAGGGAGGGAGGGAGAGAGGGAGGGAGGACCTGATGCTCCCCCGCTGGCCTGCACTGCCCTGAAGCTCACCACCAGTTAAACAGGGTGAAGCCCAGAGGCTACAGTCAACTCTGCCCAGAGGATGTGTGCAGAGGACGGGACCCCAATAGTGGGACATCCAGACCAAGATATTGCTTCTCTCAGAATGCAGAAGCCCCACCTCTGCTCAGCCCCAACAGAGCCGGAACACACACACACACACACACACACACACACACACACACACACACACACGCACACCCCCGCTCCACACTGGCCACACGAACCAAGCAGCTAATTTTTCTGAATTTTTTCGCAGTGATAACGAACCCTGCCAGTGTTAAATGCAAGGTCCCGAGATAAAGTGGGGCTCTCAGATTAATTCTGCCTGCCCCCAGGCTCTGCCAAGGAGCAATTAAACAAGATAACATCCATGGTTGCCAGGGACCGGGCAGAGGTGACTCGGCAAAGCACCGAAGGATTCAGGGCCGTGGATCTGCTCAGTAGCACCCTCTGCAGGCACGAGCGCAGCATCCCAGCCTCTGAATGTCCCACCCCCAGAGTGAACCCTGACCACAGCACAGACCCCCCCTGTGACAAGTGTGCCATCCTCTGAAAGGATTTCTAC